TATTTACATTTATGATTATCTAATTTTTACTTTGTCAGGATGATAAGCATTTAGTGCAAATAGTACCTTCTTTATTGGTAAGTCCTTCTCTTTCAAACTTACTATTTTTCACAAGGCATTAATTATAATAGTAATAAATAAATAAAAAATAGGAGAAAAGGATTTATTCCCGTTTGCCCGTCGTGAACTTGCCGACAACGTATGCCACACCGTATGTCGTCATTAATGGTCTGCTTATTCTGTGCAACATACTGGAAATTGAACTTCCTATCTCAGAGAGCGCAAGGACAGTAGAGAGGGTCTAATGGGATGGCATTCATATCTTGGAACCTGGAATAGCTTCTTAGCGATGTCATAGGGCCTTCACTATGGTTTGCTGACGTTATATAGCTTAATTGAGCTATATAGAACATCAACATGTTATATATATTATATTTATATTTAAACTTTTTTTTTTAAATAACTTATTTATTTCCTGTTGGGTTAAAACACAAGTTAATTTCTTTCTTTCATTGTTTTAACACACTTCTTCTGTAAAAATCTTCTTACTATTTAATACTTTGTTGATCCAGGAACGGTATTTTGAGATATCAATGTAGACGTTGGGTAAACCTGGGAAGGAACATTTGTCGTCGACAGTCGCAATTCCAACAGCTTTCCCCTTGCACACGAGGGGTCCACCAGCATCACTCTGTGAGCAGGAAATATCTTTATTTGTTAATAAATAAATCTTTGATCTTCGGGGGCATTAAGTCGATCCTTTTATGCAGCACTTTGTCAGATTAAAGGTCCCATATTTTGGCCATTTCTACTGATCATAATTCCATTGTTGAGGTCTACTAAAATAGATTTACATTGTTCAATCTTCCAAAATCACATTGGTTTTCTCATACAGCATCTCTGTATAGTATCTGTATTCGCTCTCTGTCCTAAACAGCTTGTTGGAGCTCCTGCCCCCCCCTCCCTATGAGCCCACCATTACAATTCAATGTTAAAATTGTTTAGCAAAGGTAGACATTTTGAAAAAAAAAGCTACGAATAGAACTTTCCTGGTTCCACCCCTGGTACATTGTGTGTGTGTGTGTGTGTGTGTGTGTGTGTGTGTGTGTGTGTGTGTGTGTGTGTGTGTGTGTGTGT